GGCCATTTTGGCACATTTATCCATAAATGTCACCAAACTGTGCCAAATATGTTTTTTACATCAATACTGGGGGTTTGGTAAAATTACGGGGTCATGTAGCAGCTGGACCCGCCGGTGGGTCCGTAGGGTTCAAGGGGTTAAACCCTTAACTTAATATTTTGTTGCAAAACCTTTTGAATCAATCACTGCAATCAAATGATCCTTGTAGATAGAGGTTCTGCTTCTTTCAGCAAGTATTTCGAGCAAGTGGCTCCAGTTGTTTCAGCGTTTAAGGGTGCCTAATCCAGATGTTTTAGTTCCTTCCAAAGATGCTCAATAGAATTCAGGTAAGGGCTAATACATAGAATCATAGTCAAATGTTATCCTCTTAGTCATTCCTTTGTGTTTTTAGCCATGTGTTTTAGGACCAAGCTTTCTGACAATGAGCAGCATATTTCTCTCTAGAATCCCTTGACAGTCTTGAGATGTCATTGTACAATTTAGAGATTCAAGACAACTTTGTAGGAGATTAGGCAAAGAAGCCCCAGAACATTAAATAGCTTCCCCCACGTTTCATAGTAGGGTCAGTGTTCTGTTTTGATAAGATTCATTTTTCCATCTGTGAACATAGAGCTGATGAGTTTTGGTAAAAAGTTCATTTTCTTTCTCATCCGTCAAAAAGGTATTCTCCAAGAACCTTTGTGGTTTATTATAATGTAGTTTGGCAAATTCCAGTCTGACCTTTTAGGATTTATTTTCAACAATAATGTCATTGCTGACCATCTCCTATTAAGTGCACTTTGGTTAAAACAAGGGTGGCCAATGAGATCTGACATTGAGGTTGCTGTAGCACCTTTAACCTCTTTAAAAGTTTTTATGGGCTCTTTTGTTGCCATCCATGTTATCCGTCTCTTTGATTTGTCATCTGTTTTCCTCCAGCTGCCCTGTCCAGGGAGGTTGGCTCCACTTCCATGGATCTTACATTTCTGAATAATATGTGCAACTGTAGTTGGGAAGGGTCTTATAGCTTTAACATTCTTGTCTATGATTTTCTCTCTAATCTTCTGACACAACTCTTTCATTCTATTCCTTTGGTCCATGTTGAGTGTGGTACACACCACCTCACCAAACAGCACAGTGACTACATGTAGTCCTACATACAGGCCCACATACTGATTACGAGCTTGTTGGCACCTGTGATGCATATTAATGGAAACACCTTGATTTAAAGTGTCCCTTTTGTCACATTATATTCAGTCTTTTGCCCAGGCCTAGTTCACAAATGTATTCTTTAGAACTGTTTCTTACTATGTTTATTAGTTCTGTTGAAGCATGGTTGAAAAATTATTTCTGAATTTCATTTGTTATTTTTCATAGAATTTTTATTTATCATTTATTTTCTCAGATTTAAGTTTCCTCTGGGTTTATTTCATGAAATGAGGGGTACTAACAACATTGTCCACATGTGTAGATACCTGATAGTAAGAAAGTCATCTGCTTTGCTGTAAGCATAATAATTGACACCTGATACACTTTTCAAATCTTGTGTTTGTGGTTGCATTCGTAGAAACCATTGGAAAAAACAGCTTTATTAAAACAAAAGTGGGGATTTAAACTGTTGTGTTTTGTTCCTGTTTTTTTTTTTCTGCAGGGACATTCAGAGGTGTATGTAAGAAGATTGATCACTTTCCAGAGGATGCTGACTATGAAGCGGATGCTGCTGAATACCTCCTACGTGAGTGATCATTCCTACTTTTACCGGGCTAGAAAAGTACCATGAAATATTAGTTCTAGTTTCCACAAACCTTCCTCGATGTTACCGTCCAGCTTAAGTTTTACAGTGAAATGTTATTTAAGTTTAACAAGTTCCTAAGAAATCAAATGAATCATTATTTCCGGGTGTCCAAGATTGAATATCAATACAACTGCTTTCTTTTAAAAACAGATCAAAGGGTGAGAAAATTAAGGAAACAAACTTGTGACTTCTGACCTACATTATGAACACGTACATATGCACTGAACTGAGAAAACAGGAACCCTAAAGAACTGTTTACACTCTGTTATGTTCAATATAACCCATTTTGCTGCAGTACAGTACTTGTCTCTTGCTAAAAGAAGCCATCTTTTCCCACCCATTCTATTGCATTAAGACTACTACTTTATTTGAATATTATTGACCATTGTATCCAGACAGTGTGATGAACATATCATGAACCTCTTTGTCAGAATCGTCTCCCAAGGCATACAGACAAAGAGAAGTAGCAGGCATCCATCATGGGTCCACCGTTGTTCGACCTAAAATGCTTCCATTTGGATCTTTTATAGCCACAAACAACCTAGCCTTTCACTGCGATACAGATGATAAATACACATTGAGCTCTTTAAACCTTAACTTTGTGCGTGTTCTGTTTTTAAAATATCTCATTTCTCAATCTAAAGCAGCTGTAAAGAAGCTTGGGGTCATCTTTGACAGCAGTTTGAGTTTTGACAAGCAACCTTACTGTTTGATTTGGGATAGCTTTTATTAACTACGTATTTTTACAAAGGTTAAACTGTTTATAAATTGATTTGGTCTCGTGCAAAGTATTTTCATATTTTTAGGTTCGAGAATTAACAATTGCAACACACTATGTCGATGTCTCCTAGTTGTCAATCATGTGTTTTTGGTAGGTTCAAAGGGCTGCTGCTCACTTTTTGATCCCGCACATCATCCAAGTCTTCTTTTTCTAGTCAGTGGCTTCCCATTTCTTTTAGAATTGATTTTAAATTGTTGTCTTGTGTTATTAAAGCCCTTACGGCTCTTGCGCTTCAATACTTAACTGAGCTATTGTGCATTTGAAACTCAACATGGGCCTTTAGGTAAATAAACCAGCTCTAGTAAGAAGACTCTAGGTGCAAATGCTGGGGTTTTTGGACCTCTTCAGTCTCTGGGCCCAGGCGCTGGAACAAATTATACTTCTCATGTCACTTTTGACTTTATGGGTTTTAAGGGCAGGCTTAAACCCGTTTATTCTACCTGTCATATTTTTACTTTATTCAGTTTGTACTTGTTTTTTTTTTTGTTTGCTTTCCTTCATTCTGTTTTCTTTCATGTTGATTTTATGCACAGCACTTAGGTCGCCTTGTGTCTTCTTAGGGGCTATTTTAATAAAGTTGATTGATTAAAAAAATCTAACACCAAAACAGTTTAGGACAAACTCTGCATCTGTGATCTGCTGCACCTGTTTGTCTTCTGAGGGTCCAATGAACCTTTTAAGGACGATATGGCATCATGACCCCTATTATCTATGGGGACTTTAAAAAAAACCCTCTAAAAGTAAGCAAAGCTTTGGACGTTCTAGCAGAATGGTATTTTTTTTTCAACATATGACCTAAATCCCACCTTCTTATCCCTGGACCTAAACCTTTTCTGTAACTCCTTGATGGCATCAAGATAAACAGTACCAGAATCAAACGGCATTGCTCAGTAAATCTAGTTATTTGATACAGTTTTGTTGAAGCAGAAAGGTGTTTTAGGACATCTGCACCCCACGAATGCAGTTTTTAGAGCTGATTTTAAAAAGATTGTGCTGCCTGTTTGTATCTTTTCAATTTTTTTATAACCTTAGTCTAAAAACTCAGCTGCTGCTCTTGTTTTTCTTTTCTTCCATTTCTGTATATTACAACATTATAGACAGCCTAAGGAAAAGAATGTATTGCTTGACTTTTACATTTATATTTGTAAAATGATGCACATTTAACAGAGGAGACAGTCAAACTTAGCCCCTGCTCAATCTTTTTCCCAATCTAGCCTATTTGGAGATTCTCCATCTCTATTTCTTTTTTTATTAGATGTATAACTTTTAGTAGAGTAGAGTTCCAGCCTTTAAAGATGACTTCCAGGGTCTATGTAATAATGTGTAAGCATGCGGTGTGTTTTACAGATTTTCTGGCAGTATGAAATAGCAAAAAGCATCAAAAGAAAAGAGAAAAAAAAGGATTCAGTTAGAGTCTTGTTTTTGATGCTCCACTGAGCAAAGAGCAACAACCCCCTTAGGCAGCCAATTAGCAATCAGGAATCAGATTGTATTAGCCAATAAGAAGCAGGGACCTAGTGACCAGCATTTTGTACAGCCTAGGGTTGTGGGCCAAATGGGCGGGGCTTGTTTGCTGTTTTTTTGGGTTGATTATTTAGTAGTAATGTTTAAAATAATCATAAAAACATTATACTGACTTAAAAGCAATACGCTTAAAAGGCATTTTTTTATAATTAGAAATGAGATGCAGTAAAATTATATGCATGTATAAAATAAACCACACAGTTGATTCCTACATAACTGCAGGCAGCCTTCACTGTTTGATCGCATTGAGTGCACATATGGGCCGCTATTTTCACCCCTGCTGCAGCCTCTCTTTCACATTCATCTTCTCTGTTGTTCATTATTTCAGTGTGCATATGTCAGTGTGACTCTCCATCTGTCTTAGTTTTTGGCCATCTTTTCCTTCCCCATCCATCTCTCCCTCTATCTTTCTCTCTAGTTGTGAGGCCCCTGAATGCTTCAACATGTTCTGGATTCAGGTTCAGTCAGGCGTGCATTCCACATACAGCAACATGTGTGTGTTGAGTGCATGCTGTAAGTGGTGCAGTTTCAGTTGAAACTGCACCACTTACAGCTATCATGGGTGGTATATTAGATCTTTAGAGGTAAAAAATGGAACAGAGGTTTAAAGATTGCACATATAGATTCTTATGTCTGAAATTTAAAAAATTCATGTGAGGGGAAAACACAGGATAGTCAAAAAAGGAGGTAAAAGTTACCATACAGAGACGCCTTCAAAACCATTACATAATAGCCACCTGAGACAAAAATAGTGATGAGAAATTCTGTAGCTTAGATATAATGTAATGTGTGTACAATACAGATGTTAAACCCCAACATATTAACTTTAGTCTTATTTCTGATGTGAAATCCTCATAAAACATCAAAGTAAATAATATAAAGTGAAATATGTGTGAGTCAAATCTTCTTGTTTCCTGTGTGCATGCAGGTGCCGTCAGAGCCTCCAGTATCTTCCCCATCATGAGTGTTGGTCTGTTGTTTCTGGGGGGGCTCTGTGTGGCTGCCAGTGAGTTTTACCGGAGCCGACACAATGTCATCCTCAGTGCAGGAATCTTCTTCGTATCTGCAGGTTAGTCATCACCGTGCATCTACCTCTGTTTGTGAAAGTCAGAGTCCTCTCTCCCTTTTCAGAGCAGGAGTGTGTGGTAATTACCTGTCATCTGTGCCTCGATGTAAAGGGAAAAAAGCAGAAAAGCCTCGTTAAAGAACACTTAAAGCAGCTCTACCTCAATGTTTAACAGTGATTTAATTTATGCTTGTTATCCTTTATGTTACCCTTTTAACAGGTCATTTCACAATTTCCTATTTTTAATTTATTATTTGGTTTAATAAATAAGCCATGTACATAAAAACATTAAAGTCTGAGAGTTAAGAATGAACTGCACCAGAGTTTTTGCTTCTTAGCTAATTTACATCTGCAGGTTAAGCAAGAAAGGAAAAACTGAGATAATTAGGATGTTATTACGGGAAAAATTATGAAAGATCCTCTAAGATAATTTCTGCCAACCAGAATCCAACGTATATAAAAAAGTACATGACATGCAAAAAGATTCTTTCATATAAAAAAAAGGCAACGCAAGTTTATTTGTTTTCAGTACAAAGACACTTTAAAATGCTTTACATTAACTAAACAATAAAATAGAAGGAAAAAAAAGCAAGTAGGGAAAGCACATGTTTAACTTAAACAGTCACAGGTAGTTCTAAACAAATGTGTTTTTATTTTGATTTAAAACCGATTTTTTTTTTTGTTTATGTGTTCAGAAATCCAGAAAACTAATCCTTTGAGTGACGCATTGAGTAGATTTTAGGATTTTAAAATTGTTAAATAATTTTTTATATGCTTTCAATATCAGATAGTTTTGGACTAATCTGATCGTTGCATGATGTTATCAAAGATGAAAACCTTTGACACAACTGCAGATACTAGCATGGAGACATTTAGCATGGACCTAAACTGACAAGTCAGATAAGTATAGCTCTAATCAAGGGAACACAGCAGAAATCTGTTGTAAACCTGACATAATGCAGAGAGTTCAGGTGATGAAGTATCTGTTGAGGAAGAAATCCTGTTGTTTTCCTTAAGCATTACAGTGAACGTAGCAGAAATGTGGAGGAATGTCTGTGTAGATGCTCAAAATACTATTTTTGGTGGAGTGGAACTTTCATTGTCATCCACAATGAAAATGATAGTGGCAGCACCATGCTTTGCGGATGCTTTGCATTAATAGCAACAGGGAAACTTGTTGAAAAGAAGACAGAGCAATTTTGAACAAGTTCACCTTCCCGCAGGACAATATCAGTAAACATTTGGCAGTAGCTTCAATAGAATGGTATATAAAAAAGATAATTTCTTTCATATCCAGATCTAAGTCATATTCAGAATCCAGTCAAAAATGTACGAGTTAATGTTCCAGGAAACCTTTATCTATTCCAGTGCCTTACAGTTGATTTATAAAGATGAATGGGCAACGACATACTACAATAAAGGTAATGGTTTTTTAAATATAACTTCATTTTTAGCATGACATAATATTTTGATTACAGTGAAAGCTCAAAATCAGACCAACTAAGGAATTTTTGAACATCGATGGCTTCAATTTTTTGATTTAAAAAAAAATAAACCCTCCCGAACCTTCTGTATATTTCTCATGATTATTTAGAATAAAAAGATCTAGACATTAAAGGGATATTGTGTAAGAATTACTGTCATCTAGCAGTAAAATGGGGGTATTTTTCCAAATGAACACTGAACCCTCAAACACACATTGTGGCAACGCTCGCCGCCATGTGTGGTAGAGTGGTCTCTACAAGCTGGCATTTACTGTGACAGAGAGCCAACGTTCACCGTGACTTTGAGCTACTAAAGCTACATCAATACTATACAATGTTGGTGTATTTACAGGATCTACTGTTATGAAATCTAATTAAAGCGAATGGGAAAAGTTAGCTTTTCGCTAATTTAGGCAGTACAGTTCACTTACTAGCTAAAGAGAAACACTGTGACTTCAGCGTCCCTTTTAAAATCTTTTTCATTACGGTAGTTCCTTCCACCTGAAGAAGGTCTGTTTTATGTTTATCCTCTTTTTTTTAAATATATATGTCACGGTTTTTATGTTTTTTTATTTCTCTTTCTGTCTTTCTTGTGGATGGTGAAACCGTTTCTTATGCTGTTGCTGCAAATTCATCGTCCTGCTTTGTGCTACAAATTTCAGTTGTGGGGTTGGCTTAGCGTCTCCAAATGATCTCCACCGCCACTCCTCAATCACACTGAACTAGGGGAAAGGTCTGCGCAATAGTACTATTCTATCCCTCGCTTGCATTTGTACTTTCAAGATGACAGACTGTCATGGCGCTTCACAAACGGGTGACGCAGACATTCTGCTGCACCTCTCCAAAATTGTAGATGACCGCAGACAGTGCCGCAGACAGGAGGCCTATTTCCTGACCTGCTTGTTTTGTTTCTATGACCCCGATTGCAAAAAGTTAGACCTGCTAGAAGAGCGAGGTGTGCGAGAATGCTGGGAACCTTGGATGGATCCACATGGATCCCCCCTCTTTTAAGCCCTCATGTCCATCCATTGTCGCACAACCTTGCTCCCACTCCCTCATCGCCGCGGCCGTATCTAGACCCACAGCTAGTTTGTGATTGCCGCTCTTGCGTTGTGGCGTGGAATAACATAGCGCAGACCACGTTTCTATATTGGGCATAAATCAAAAATATCTGCAACAAACTCACTGCGACACACTGCTGCGGCAGTATAACCAGCCCTTTAAAGAAGGCCCTTAATGCTAATGCCTGCTTTGGGGATTGTGGCCTACTGTAGTTGTAAGGGCATTGCGCATGAAATCTTGATGGACTGCCACGAGACCATTAACCCCACATTGCTCACCGGGCGCCACGCAATGGCCACTGCTCCGGATGGGTTACATGCAGAGAGTTCATTTTGTTGCTCTGTACTTCTGACAGTATAATGAAAATAACAAAAATGCTGGAGAAGCTGTTTAAACTAATAGAAATGTTTTCACTTATGAAATCGTATTTGATTATTGTTGGAGGTAATAATTCACTAATATGAAGGCGTTTAAAAACATTGAAGTCATTGATTTCAAGCATTAGAAAAAATAAATTTTTACACAATGTCCCTTTAAAAGAATTAAGATATAAGTAAATAAGTATTAATAAACCAGATATCCATGCACAAATAATGAGATAAGCAAATGAAATACAAACAGATATACCATTATTCTAGATTAACACTTATTCCACTCTCCTACTAAAGAAATTAGGAAAGATGTTTTCTGGAAAAAAAATAGTCGTATTTCATTGATAAAAGATCTAACATTTGTCATCCCTATAGCTCAGGAGCCTTTACAACAAGGATTTTATTACCTGGTTTTGAAATCTATCACCTGCTTTAATCTGGGAGGGAAAAGGAATGAAAAACTTATTCATCACCAATTCCTAATCCATCACCTTTCAGGACCAGAACCTCCACCACTCTGTTCAACTTTGAAGGCTGTCTCTATTGGCCAGATTCTTCTCCAACAGTGATTTTTCTCCAAGGATCCCTCTTTTGTTTTTCCACTAAACCAGTTCAGAGCTTCACTGGTCTTTTGGTTAGCTTAGATTATTTTTGTTTCCACCAGTGTGAGCTCTAGCTCCGGAAAACTAGTGTCAACCTATAACCAGTTTGGTCCAATAGTAAGAGGCTGGACAATAGAGGTCTGAAGATAATCAAAACTTTAAGTTTTTTTTAACCTAACTTCTGATTCAGTTCTTTACCACTCCTCCTTATCTCTCTGTGCAAATGAAAGATCATCTGACCCAGGTTTTATATTAAAGGAAATTGCCAAAATGGTAGTTTTTAGGTGAAGCTGAGCTCAAGTTCAGAGGGCAGAAGGATATTATGCTTTTCACATAAATGTACAAATGCGAACTGCTATCCAAACAAAGAAATACTCTGTGAAGCTGAATACCAAAGGTTATGAACACTCACTCATAATGTGAACACAGCTCCTCTCACAGGGAGTTTCTGGTTCAGGAGAAAGGAGAGGTAACAAGATCAACCAATCAAAAGTGGAACTGGAGTAATGTGAAAATGATGTAATGTCAGACAGCAAATAAAAACCGGATTCGATTTTCTTTTTCCAATGGCAAATTTTTTAAGGAATAAAAGGATTCATATTAATCCAACTCTTGGTACATGTTATTATTGTTCAAAAGTGGCTTTGAAGCGTGCATATGCACTAGAGAATAGAAGGGGGTTGTCCGTCTCACATTTGACTCATCCTCCTATAATATATTTTTTCCATGTGTTTCTTCCAGGACTCAGTAACATCATTGGAATTATTGTTTACATCTCAGCCAATTCTGGAGACCCCGGTCAAAGCGACAGCAAGAAGTCCTACTCGTATGGCTGGTCCTTCTACTTCGGCGCCTTGTCCTTCATCATGGCTGAAATGGTAGGCGTGTTAGCGGTGCACATGTTTATCGAGAAGCACCGTAAGCTGCGCGCCAAGTCCCGCACTGAGCTCATAAAGAAGTCCGCATTCAGCCGCATTCCTTCCTACCGTTACCGATTCCGGCGCCGCTCAAGCATGCGTTCCTCCGAGGCTCCCAGCCGAGACACATCACCGCTGGGGAAGGGTGGCTACACTGGGCCGGCTGCCTCAGAGATGCCCATGTACACGCTGAACCCAAGAGAAGTGGGTAATGCAGGCAGCAAACCAGGTGGCGGCATGGGTGGGCTGCTCAACTCAGAGAGGGAGTTCCTCCAGAGCAGCACGCTAACTAAAGACTACAACAAGGACCCCAACCGCAGGACCACGCCAGTCTGAGGGAACCTGGCCGAAGATATCATCCCATCAGAGAATCTAATAGAGGGAGGAGGAGAGGAGAAACATACTGGATATCCAAGCAAACAAAGGGAATAGGAAGGGATATGGGGTCATGAAGGGGTTGGTTAATTTTGACTGTGAACTTTTAGCCTTTGAACTGTGAATCCTTTGCCCTCCGAGAGGTTCTCCAGGTGTATCGAATGGGTTTGGAGGGAGAAGTTGTTTTCAACTCCACGTATACCTGACATCCATAACCGCTTATAAATGACAGCAACTGTAATCTGGGTTCATAATTTTCATGTCATTAACTGACACATTTTTAAGGTGAACAACAGACTGACGTTGAGGTTACTGGTTTGGTGCAACTTCTCCTGAGAAAACGCAACCAATGTGAAATATAGGAGGAGACCAAAAAGAAGAGAAAATGTAATATGTTGTCTTTAGACCTCTCTCCTCTTGTGCTTTTGGGTAGAAATGGGGGTGTATTAATGAAGGGAACCAGTCACTTTCCAAATAGGGTAATTAAGGGGAGAAAGTTCAACTTATCATGAGGCTAAATTCAATGTTATTTTGGCTGCTTTCAGAAAACAAAAGGGAATATGTGGCATTATTGTTTATTTCTACATTTCTTTACTGGTTTCGTATCAACTGACCTCAAAGGGAACTGAAACTGAATTGGGCTGATTCCAAACCAGATTATTCAATGCTGGCTGCAGATCAGCTGTTGGAGGGCGAGTAGAAAAGCTAATGCTCAATCCATTGGTGCTTCCTCTCAACTGTGTTTTTCTGCCACTTCTTGATTTATTTTTTACCTAAAACTTCAAGACGACCAGACATCTGTCCGTTTGCCTTCACAAATCACCTTTTCGCCTTCCATGTTTTTCCCTGTAGCTCCATACTTCACCTCACTGACACCCTCTTTGCACATCCCCTCACCCTACCTTCCCTGTACTTAAAAACAGTAGATTTAGCTTCTGTCTTCCTTGTAGAGTAGTTAGGGGTTTTGGGTGTTATTATTTCAAGGTAAAGTGAGGGAAGGAGTCAGGTATAAGGGAGACCGCTGAGCTGTGAAATATACATTAAGGCAGTGCCAAAAAAAGCACTTAAATAACAAGAAATGGACTTTTTGTGTCTGCCCGCTACCTCTTGATAAACATATTTCAGACTAATTTAATGTGAAGTTGTTTCTGATTGCTCGGACAACTGTCCAAACTTAAACTGCTAAAGAGACTAAATGCTCCATTAGTTGAAGGAGGAGTCCCTCCAAAGGGGGGGTTCTTATCGGTAAAGTGCTTGGCATTATTTAAAAGGCTTTTAAATGTAACTATTTGAATTTGCAGCAGCATAATCCCATTTTGCAAGTTTTATAAAAAGCCAACTTTTATTTTGAATATATTTACTTATTGGGAAATGATCCTAATGGCTCAGTTATTGGTATTTAACTAGTAATTTTTTTAAGTTGATCAGAGTTCCTAAGAACTTCTCCGGAACTTTTTTGTGTAGTGATGATATAACACAATTGTCTGTTTTTTTTATTTTTTTTATTTAAACTACTAAACTCTGGGCTAAATTAGGACCCTAAAGTTTATGCCAGGGATGAGGAGGAAAAAGCACCTCATGGCGAATTTTACAGATATTGGAAGACCAGTGATGCTATGGGGCCCCTTTTCTCTCAAAAAACCTGCTTAACATGTTAGCTTATTTATTTCTATGAACTTATACACTGCAAAAATGTTCTCAAAATGAGTGAAAATTTCTTTAAAATAGTGTATTTACCCTTAATTTTACTAAGAAAATCAGATGATCTGCCAATGGAATGAGCATTTTTCCCTTAAAATAAGATAATTAGAGAATATTCACTTGAAATACGAGACTGCAATAGTTTTTTTCTTATTTTAAACGTAAATTGTCTTATTTCATTGGCAAAGTGGAAGCTCAATTCAAGAAAAAAAAAATGCACTCATTTTAAGCAAAAATGACTCTCTTGGATTGTACTTTTTTGCAGTGTAGAAACACTAGGACATGTTCAATAAAATATCTGGCCATCTTACAGTAAAACATACCTTCTGTTAGAAAAATTAATCCTAAACATTTTTGTTCCCACTAAATAAATGTGCTCAGAACAAAGGTTGGATTTTTTTCTCCATTTTTCAACGTAAGGTTATGCTACTGCAGTTAAAAGATTGATTTATTTTATGATTTATAACATCTGTCCCACGGGTTTCCAAGTGGCTGATGGTGTAAAGACAGGTAGAAAGATGGAACCAAACGAAATCCATGATAACATACCAAAACATGCTGCATTCATTTCAAACCGTGGCCTCATGTGTAAACAGTAAAAACATTAGTAAAAGGATTTCAATTATTTCTAAATCACTCTCGGCATCTTACATACTATTTTTTTTTGGAAACTACTTTTTAAATCACTCCTGGGAACCTCTGGCAGGATTCCTAAATAGCTCTTACCAAATTGGACAATTTGATCATATAAAATATGAAAGCAGACGCCTGATTTCATCCAGGAGATATAAAAGAGCAGCTGTGCATGGATTGGTAATGTGGGCTGATCGACAGAAAAATGTGTCTGTAGCAGTGAGACTTAACCTAGTATTTAAAAAGGAATGAGACTTTATTGCCACTTAAACTTTTAGTATTTGCTGATTTTTCCATACCTTTTGTCCTAATAGAAAGTGTGAGAATAAAAAGAAGCCATAAATCAAAGTTGAAAGAATCTGGGAAGAGTAAAAGATTTGTGCAGATTCAGATTCAGCTCTGAGAATAAATATGACCCCTTTTAAAGATTTCTGGGGGATTTGTTTTCTAGCTTTATATCAGACAAGGATAACCTGAGTAAATACAAAACTTGAAGGTATTTATCCTATTACACATGGTGTAATTTTAGTTATAATAGCATCCAAACATGGCAGTGGTAGTATGATGATGCGGGGCTGTTTTTTTTTCATTTGATTTTTTGTTTGTTTTGGGGTTTTGTTACCCTTTCAGCACACCCTGGTCCTAATACTTAAATGACCTAGTCAAAGTTCAGACTTAAAGACACCTCGAAATGTTGTAGGATGATCTTAAACAGAATGTTTATTTCTTCAAATCCTCCAATGTCTCTGAGTTACACCAGTTCTGGAAAAGAAAACAGGTCTAACATCTCCAATACTCTTTGTCAGCTGTTAAAATCTCTTTTTGGGACCAAGGGTGGCACAAGCAGCTATGAGGTATAGGTGGCTATTAAATTTTACATTGGGACAGGATGATTTGTCAACACCTTTCAGTGTTTACTCAGGTTATCTTTGTCTATAAAATAAATCTTGTTCAAAATTTAAACATTAAAAGTGTGATTAAACAAAATCACTTAGGAGAAAAATACTTGTATTTACTACTAGAAATTCACAGCACTTTTTCTTTCCTTCTGTTTTAAGGAACTCTGATTGAGAACTATATATATATATATAAATGTATCTATATAGATATCTATATAGATACATACATAGATGTATTTTTGCCTCCCAAAGCCATCATTGCACTGTTTTTGTATGAACTAAACGAATCCACCCTGAGCCGACACCTCCGCACCCTGCTGTGACAGCCTTCACCCTGACAATAAAAGATGTTCTTATCGCAGTCAAACTCTTTAATTTACAAAGCTGCTGTTTATCCTCCTGTCTTTCACGCCATAAAGGAAACATAAAGGGACAGACGGGCACCTGCTCGAGCCTCTCTCCACTCGCCGCTGTGAGATGAGGTGGAGGGGAGGGGAAAGGCTTTTCTCCAAGCAAGGGCTTTTAATTTTTAAAGAACAGGAGCACACAAGGGCTTTTTATGCTCAGCACTGCAGCAATGTCGCTTTTAAGGGTGTAATCTTGGAGGGAGCGTGGAAAAAGCAGAAGAAGTTTGCACAGAAACAACTGTTTTTAACCAGCTGAATAGCTTAGTAGTAATATTACATGCTTTGAGCAAATCAGAGGTGGAAGACCTTGCTCTTCTACCTGGCTTGTTTTCCTGTAGCTAGAAGTGAGTAATACTGCCTTAAAGATAGGATAACAATAACATATTGGAGTTAAGAGTCAGCATACTAGCGAACTAGCTGCTCAGAACCAGTGCCAAATATTAGTCAAATGTCTCCTGTGTCATGCTGTCTGGGTTACCTTTAGATCATAGAATCACTGCTGTATATACTCTTTTCTGTGTAGGATTTACAGACTAAGCAGTCGTAGCTATGTAGCTCAGCATAATAAGGGGCCCCTTAGATCCTTAGGGTCTGTTAGGCGCCGTGTTTAGTACTGCCATTCATTAGCCATTTGAGCATCGACCATACAAACCCATGCATGCCATATTCATTTGCTTCCAGTGCTTATAATTGCTGTATCTTAAATCGGGCCTCCAAAGGCCCCCTGATCTCTGTTACTGAACGGGACGCTCATTTGCTTCACCTGAGGCCTAAGCTGTGTGGATGTTTACCCCCAACAGAGCACAGGGGGCTTTTTGAGACTCGCCATTCAGCTTTGACGCTCTGATATCAACAAGTAATTGTATTATTAGTAAAGAATTATTCTAAAGGTGCCACTGTGCAGAGGAGGACAAACTCTGTCACATTATATACTTATAATGAATATATTCATTTTTGGGGAACGGGGATTGATGATATGGAGCAGAGTTGGGAAGCAGGAGTCGTAGTCTTTCTAATATATTATTCTAGTTTCCTTTTCTACTTTGTCGTGGCTGTGAGGTTTTGTTGTATCAATCACATCGAATGTCTCTCTGACGGGAGGGACGAGCAGGGACCAGCGGACTTGCTTGTGGACATTAACCTCACCTCACTGGTGCCAGAGACTATATGTTACCCAGCAAGACCTGCAGCACTGCAATTCCAGCAGACAGCAAAACACAAACACGCACTTTACAGTCCTGTATCTGCAAGTTCCTATACTTTTGAGGACAACATATACATTACAAAACAGGTTGTTTAAAGTGGCAGGGACTAAAAATGAAAGACTAGCTTATTGAAACCTTTTTTTTTTTTAAAAAGCAAAAGAAAAGGTGTGCTCCTGCACCTTTTTTTGATGCAACCCAAAAATGCATCAGAGTGAAGCTGCGGTTCAAATATTAAAAGCAATTTAATCCTCTACTTAATTAAATACTTTTTAGTTAAATAAAGAAATATAGCATTAAAAAGCTTATTCATGCACACAATTTGCAATGTTCCATTTGAAGGGTTCTAACTTGGCTCCCTGTTTTGATGTATTTGTCCTCATGAGTACAGAAAACAAGACCACACAAAATCATAACAGTTGTATGGTCACATTTGCATACACACACACATTCCTCCATGCTGAGACAAACAGACACATGCAATGAGACGGCACCCACTCACAGTTTCCTGCTTGGCCCAGTGAGGTGCAGGAAAACAGTGCGTACATCTCTGTGGAAGAAAAAAAAATCACTGTGTCATGTTAAGTGTTTTTTGAAAGAAAAACAACAAACTGTTTCTGAGGAGTCGCTGTTGCCACGACCCAACAGGTGGAGCTTTGAGTAAACTGAGCCAGCTAATCATACATGGACAACCAGTTGAACTGAAATGTGAATTCAACGGAGTAGTTCTTAAGCAAACAGACTCGCTACACAGTACGATCTCTACAATTAACACTCACTACCAGCACATACTAACAAACATCGACATGAGTAGGGTTACAGTGTGAGGAGGGCTTACAGGTGGATCTATGTGCCTGCATGGTTGTGTATATGTGTGTGTGGTGATATTTATGTGTGTGTTCGTGTGTTCGACTTAGCCTCTCCTCACCCATGCACCTAGTGCCTGCCTATCCTGCCTTCAAAGAGCTCCGACTTCAGCTACGGGGCTTCCAGGATAACCTTTCTCTGCATTCCCATGACATAATTATGGCTAGGCTGGAAGCAGGTTGAGAGCTGAATGTCCCTATCATTCCTAGGCAGTCTCAGCCATACAAGCTAATTAGACTGTTGACTTTAGATGGCTCTGATGGACCAATTTTGTTTCTTGGTGCGTTTTTTTTATCCTTCAGATGGGGATTTGTAGGGATTTTCTTGTAGTAATCTGCTCAGACATGACTGTGTTTTTTTTCCTATAGAAAAATGGGGGATCTATGAGTGTAAAACTGAGTCACCTGTCACACCTTGACGATGTAACCAGCGTATGCCTGACGTCCCAGAATCTTCCAAAATGCTGCAATACACTGAACTTTCTTTTTTTTTTTCTCAATTATGGGCATGCTCAAAATTTCTCGACATACTTGCCATATGTCGACGTGTGCCAGCGTGTTTCAGTATACTTTAGCGTGTTCATAACTTATACAAAAAGTACCCATAACTTATCCAACGCATGCCGGCGTTCTGGACGGATTTTTTTTTTATGTACGGCATACACCGTCTAAATCATCATGGTGTGACAGGGACCTCAGCTATTGCCACTACATATTAATCAACACAGCCAAAATCCTTTTCACAAGCAGCTGTTGGGTTGGACTGAACCTTAGAAATTACATTGAAAGTCCATTTATTGATGGGAGCTCAAAGTAG